TAATTTTTTGTTAATACTCCATATTTAGAAGAATTTAGGAAATGAATTATAGGAAATTTATAACCTAAAATACTTCATTCATTTAATTTTCCTTGAATTCCTGTACATGAAAATGTTTTAAATCACTATGGCTACTTTGTGTGAATTAAGATTAAACTTTTAACATTTTAAACAAATGTGTTTGACTTAAAATGTTGCCCCTCTTATGAATTATTTTCCCACTTAAGTATTTAATTTATATGGCTTTGTATAATATTCCACTCTTTGGTTTAGGAGATGATAGTAATAGTGTGCTACTTTGATCTTGGAATTACCTCCTATTGTACATTGAGTTTCTATAACATGGTAATAGTTTCAGTACCTGTCTTTAATTAATAGCTTTTCTTCTTTGTTTCTTCTCTTCTGTTTTCTTTTCGGTTCCATTCTTTTCTTTTTTGCAGTGGTTGCCAAAAAACCTGAGATTCCATTCGTATCCGGCAAGTGCTGTACCATGGAGTTGTACCCTTTGCACTATAAACTGTTTTTTTAAATTTCAGGCTTAAGTTCACAGCAAAATTGAAAGGAAGATCCAGAGATTTGCAGTTGATCATGTACCTCTCACACATAAGTTGCCTCCCTCTATGGCCAGTGCCCTCCCTTAGACTAGAACACTTGTTATGGAGAGTGACTTAAACCGGTCCATTATTATAATCCAAATCTGCAGTTAATATTAGTTTCACTGTTAGTGTTCTCCATCTGATGGGTCTATTCAAATGTGTAGTGTATTTGCTGTTGCATTTATATTTGTTCTTAATTTTGTGTTAAATTCCAGAATTCATAAATATTTAAGACATGAAGTATAGGAAATTATGATTTAAAATATTCCTTTTATTTAATTTTCAATTTTGTAATCTTGTACATGATAAAGTATTTTAAATCAGTATGTCCAGTATCTGTGCACTAACATTATAGTGAAGTTTTAATATTTTAATAAATGCATTAGACCTAGTAAAACCATTTTACTACATGATTGTATCACTAAGAAGTGATTGTTGTGAATAAAAATAAAATGTTAAGTCACCTATCAATTATTTTCTTGCCTAGGTATGTGACTTATATTGTTCTATATATTTTCCTATTCTTTGGTTTAGGAGATGATACCTATTCTGTGCTACTTTGATCTTGTAATTATCTCCAGGTATATACTGAGTTTCTGTAACATGGTAGTAGTAGTTTCGGTAACTACATTTAATTAACAGCTTTTTCCTGTGTTGTTTTCTTTTGTCTTCCCTTTTGCAGAGCCTCAACCTTTTCCTGTGGCTCCATTCAGGCCAGGCAAGTGCGCTATCACTGAGGTGTATCCTTTACACTACGAAGTTTGCTTTTTTATATCAGGTTTAAGTTCACTGCAAAATTGAAAGGAAGCTCCAGAGATTTGCAGTTGATCATGTGCCTCTCACACATAAGTTGCCTCCTTCCATGGCCAGTGCTCTCCCCTAGAGTAGTACACTTGTGATAGACGATGAGTTACCATGAGTCTACCCTTATCCTTAAAATCTGAATCTGCGGTTAATGTTAGGGTTCACTGTTAGTGTTCTCCATCTGATGGGTCTATTCAAATGTGTAGGGTATTTACTGTTGCATTTATGTTTGTTCTTAATTGTTTGTTAATACTCCATATTCAGAAGAATTTAGGAGATGATTATAGGAAATTTTTAATCCAAATGTTACACTTCTTTAATTTCTAATTCTGAAATCCTATACATGAAAAATAGTTTTAAATTAGTATGGTTACTTTGTGTGTACTAACATTAGAGTAAACTTTTAATTTTTTAAGTAAATGTGTTAGACTTAGTAAAAGAATATTACTACATGGTTGTATTACTGAAAAGTGATTTTTGTGACTAAAAATAAAATTTTAAGTCACTTAACAATTATTATCTTCCCCCTAAAGTATGTAATTTGTATTGTTCTGTATAATGTCCTACTCTGGTTTAGGAGGTGATATCTACACACTGTTACTGTGTTTTTGAATTATCTCCAATTGTATACTAAATTTCTGTATCATAGTATTAGTAGATTCATTAACTTTCTTTAAATAATACCTTTTTTCTTTGTTTCTTTGTTTATTCTCTTTTTTTTTCTGTTCCATTGTCTTCCTTTTTGCAGTGGTTGCCACTCAACCCGAGACTCCACTCAAGTCAGGCAAGTGCTCTACCACAGAGCTGCACCCTTTTCACTAAGAACTTTGTTTTTTATGTCTGGCTTAGGTTCACAGCAAAGTTGAAAGGAGGATCCAGAGGGCTTTGATTGATCATGTCCCTCTCACACAAAGTGTTTTGCTTCCCTCCATGGCCAGTGCCCGCCCCTAGAGGAGTACCCTTGTTACAGATGATGACTTACAGTGGTCCATCGTTACGTTGTCATCTAACGTTGGCAGTTAACATTAGGGCAAACTGTTGGCGTTCTCCATCTGATGGGTCTATTCAAATGTGTAGTATATTTACTGCTGCATTTATATTTGTTCTTGTTTTTTTCTTAATACTGCAGAATTCAGAAGTATTTAAGAAATTAAGTATAGGAAAATTTTTATTTCAAAATACTCCATTTATTAATTTTTACTTCTGAAATCCTATACATGAAAAGAGTTTTAAATCACTATGTTTACTGTCTGTGTAATAACATATAATAAAGTTTTAATATGTCAATAAATGCATTAGACTTAGTAAATAACATATTACTACATGACCTTATCACTGAGAAGTGATTTTTGTGACTAAAAATAAAATTTTAAGTCACTTATACATTATTTTCCCACCCAAGTTTGTAACTTATGTTGTTCTCCGTATTTTCCTATTCTTTAGTTTAGGAGATGATATCTAGTCTGTGCTACTTTGATCTTGTAATTATCTCCAGGGGTATACTGACTTTCCGTATCTTCTGCAGTACTGGGTTTAGTAACTATCTTTAATGAATAGCTTTGTTTCTTCTCTTTTATTTTCTATGCGTTCTTTTTTGCAGTGATTGGTAGACCTCGGACTCCATTCATGCAAGGCAAGTGCCCCTCCACTGAACTGTACCCTTTGCACTATGAACATTTTAAAATATCAGGCTTAAGTTCACAGCAAAATTGAAAGAAAGCTCCAGAGATTTCCAGTAGACTGTGTGCCTCTCACACGAGTTGCCTCCCTCCATGGCCAGTGCTGTCCTCTAGAGTAGTACACTTGTTATAGACGATGACTTACACTGGTCCTTGGTTCCCATCCAAAGTCTGCATTTAACACTAAGTTTCACTGTTAGCATTCTTCATGTGATGGTGGATTGGAATTTGTTGTGTGTTTCCTTTAGCAGTGTCATGCCTCAGACAGCTCCTTTGTGCTATTTGTTCATTGCCTCCCTGGCCCTGCACCACCCCACCAATACTGCAACCACTGAACTTTTCATTTTCCTGGCAGTGATCATTTTAGCAGATCTGCTCCTTCATTGAAATGATACAGTGGATAATTTTTGAAGATTAAAAGCAATAACTGTTCAAGCTAACTGAATGTAGCCAATAAAGCTGTTACTTGAACTGCCTTTCTTCCTCTTATTGGGGATGTTCCTAGGGACCGAAGCCAGTGCTTTGGCCATTCCAGGTCAATGATTTACCATGGAGCTATACCTCCAGCCTTAGTTTTTGTGTTTTTCATGCTTGTATGAATATGCGCTGATGGCATGTGCTCCACATGCTGAGCTGGCCTGCTTTCTATGTGGATTCCTCATCATGAGGAGGGTTGCCAAAAGTGACATCATGCTGAACTTCAGAGCACGAACTGCACCACCTTGTTCTGTTGGGTCCAGACAGAACCTTTGAGAATGGAGGCAGACACTGGCGAGTGCTGTGCTTCTCAAAGTGCCTCAGGTCTTTCATTCTTACCTGGAGATGGGAAGTAAGATGAGGGAGTAATGAAAGCTATAGGTGAGTCAAAATGCTCCTCTTCCTTTGAGTGCAAGTCATGTTAAGTTAGTAAAACATGACCGATTTTATCATTATTATTATTGGTCCTCACTCCTTCAGTACTAGGGACTCAGTGGTCTTGTGCGTGCTGTGCACACCTGTTTACCACTGAGTCCAACCCCAGCCCTGACTTTGTATGAATAGGTTCTCTGTCACGGGAAATCAGAGGCTTTTGGTTCTTTGTGTTGTTTTGTTTTTTTCCCAAAGTTTACATGACGTAAAATTTTGTCTTTCACTTGTCACATTCTGAGAGGCTCAGTGAGTTAGTGGTTTCATTTGTATGTTTTCATTATTCCATGTAAGATAGTGCTCCCTGGCAGCTGGTTGCAACCTCCCCGGTGCTGGCTTTTAAGCTTTTCAGACTGGACCAGCTTGTAAAGGCTTGAGCTCTGAAGTGGTTCTTTCCATGGGAAGTAAGATAGCAGATGAACTTGAGCCCTGTTTGCATCACACATATGTCAGAGAAACCAGGGAGAACTAAGGGAGCTCCTTAGCATCTTCCCTAGGAGAGGAATAGCAAGAGTAAGTGCACAGACTTCTCCTGAGCTCTTCTCCACTGAGAGCTGGAAATCATTGCAATGGTGCTTGTTTCAGGTGTGCTTCCCATATTTTGCCATGCTGCAAATTAGAATGCCCTTTACAGCTTCCTTGAGCTAAAGTATTTCCTCTTCAAACTCTACAGTTCCAACTGAATGCTACAGCAGCTGCCTTGTGTCTTAAGAAAATAAGTGTATCTTTTATGATCGTTCCTAGTGCCACTACTCTAGGAAAGTCATGCTCTTTGTTTGCCATGTCAGCTTATGCCAGCGATACTGCTAATGGTACCATTTCTGTCAATATAATACCTTCAGGTAGGATGTGATTGTGCACAGCACTATTGCTCATTTAGCTATCAAATGTAGGTAAATTCTCTTCTTCCCTGCATTTCTTAAATAAAAAATAGGAAGTGAGATTTCTTAATGCATTGCATATCAATAGCATAATTAATACTGATTGTAGAATGGGCTACAGATGTAGCCCAAAAGACTATTTTGTGTCAAAACATCAGAGTTATACTTTAATAGTTTATATTTTTGTTAATTCAAAATATATTTTACCTTTTTCTTTAATAGCACCTGCTATTTCTGAAGATGAATCTCTAACCAGGTAAGAATTTACAGGTTTTTAAATATCATACAGTGACTATTTAGTGAGTGCAGAAAAAGAAAATAATCTTTTTTAGTGTTCTGTTCCAGGCCAGACAAAGTACCTGTACTGTTTTAATCCAGTTTTATTAATTTGGCTGCTGTTATGAATGGGGGTTATTTAAATGGTCCATGGTCTCATAATTAAGAAGTAACTGACCCATGTGTTGACTGTTAGCCTGCCTGGCTCCCAGATGCCTTCCATTGCCCTCTGCAGTGCTGGGATCCAAATGCAGGTCATTTAAGATCAATGTAGAAAGTCACCATAAGGGACATGTCAAGTCTGCTTAGTTTTCCTGAGAAGTTGGTGAGTTTATTCTAAAGATAATGATTGAATTGATAGCCAGTTTCTTGTTTTTACCACTATAGAACTTAGGGGAGATGTGGTAGTTAAGACTATCTTTATGTAAATCATCTTATTTATGTTGAGGGTTTATTGCAATGACATTTTTAATGCATGTGTCTATTCACCAATTTCCCAGTTTGGTTTTCCTTTCAGGCTATTACTATTGCCTAGTTCTATGATTTTTTTTCCTCTTAAGTAAAATATTTTCTTGACTTTTTAAAAAATTTTTCTTCTACTTGGTATTTTTTTTTATTTCTGCTGCCTTAGTATTTTTTTTTTTTAGTACCAGAAATCAAATCTCACGACTGCATGCTTGCAAGGCAAGTGCTTATGCTGCTTAGTATTTCTTATTGTTCCTTAAGCAGAGTAAAAAATAAGTAGACTTTCAGGTTCTAAGGAATCTAAGAGACCAATAAAAATACCTTCTATTGCCTCAACCTGCTTAACATTCTAGCCACATGGTTGTATCATAGAGAATTTGAAGCACAATGATATTAAAGTGACTTATCTGAATATAGTTCATGGTAAAAATGAAATTGAAATCAGGTTCTATCGTTGCTGAGACTAATACACTTCCTCATGTCTCCTTCTGTGAGAGTTTCCATAGCAGAAGAGAGGAGCAGGTCTAGCATGCCCAGTGGGAGAGCATGACAGTAGAATTCATGAGGGAAGGCAAGTTTGAAGAGCAGCGTCGAATTGGGCAAGACTTGGGTATTAGAAATCAGAAAGTTGAGGTTTGTCACAAGTTTAATAAAGATAATACAGAAATTGAAGCCCAAATTAGTGAGCTTTGTTTCAAAAGGCATATTAAAAGTGAAGGTTTAAAGATACCTGAAAAGATTGTTGCCCTTTTGTTCAGTTGGAGAAACTGAGAAACTTGAAGATTGGTGTTGGATTGCTTAGGGTAATGTGAGCCATTGGGAAGTCTCTAGAGCAGGGAGGAATGTCCCATGGCCACCTTCCTTCTCAGTTCATGTAGGGTGGCTCAGGCCCCAAAGTCCACTGGGAACCATAAGTTGCTGAACTTCATGGGCCTGTGACCCAGGACAGATGTCTCTCACCTCCACCTCTTTACTCCATTGGCTGATGTGCTTCCTGTAGATGGAAGGTAGGCCTGGAAGTCAGACGTGCCCATTTGATTATCAGTACCTTGCTTCTGCTGAGGGTAGGTGATTGTGACACAAATAGCTTTCTTTTCAGGAACAGCTACTGTTGCTTACTTGAGTTCATCCTTGTTGCAGGAATCTATGCCTTCATAGACTGAAAAGTTTAGGTGAAGACTCTTGTGGAGCCCTCCATTGAGCAGCCCAGGAGTAGGAGCCCTTTCAGAAGGACTTTAGATTAGACTTAGGATAACAGAGGAGCAGCTACCAGGGCTGATTTTCCAGCTAGATCCTGCTTGAATGTCAGTGTGTCTGTGAAAGTTTCACCAATTTATGTGTAGGTGAAAAAAGCAAAGCCATACAGGAAAAATAATTGGATTTTATAATTTTTAATAGTTTAATTTCCCTGGGAAGAGATTTATCAACTCACATACACATTTTTTTCTTTGATTTCCATACTTTTAACCTTCAGATATTTTTATAGTTCAATGTCCTGTTTTTATGGTAAAGGGAAGAAACAGAGTTGTCTTACTGTAAGGGGCTTTGATAGTAGAAAAAGACTGCCATTCCAGAGTTACTTAGCATCATACTGACTTTCACTAACTTTTGCATTAATGGGGGAAATTGCTCAACCCCAGTGTTTTAAAGGAGGAAAGATTTATTTTGACTCAGTTCAGGCTCCAAGGAAGAAATTCCTTAGCAGGGAGACAAGGTAGAGGAAAGCTCCTGCAGGCAGGAGCAGTGAGAGGGCTGAAGAACCAGGGGTGAGAATTCACCCATCCAGGTCAGGACCCAGTGGTCTGCCTCAGAGCAGACCCAACCTGCTAAGGGCACAGTGAGCTACTGAACTTGCAGATGGATGAGGGCATGCTGAGTATAGGGTCCCCATGGTCCAAACACCTTCCCACTAAAGGGGACACTTTAAACCAAAACCATCACAACCAGATTAGTCATTGAAACAGAGACAGACCAGGGAAAGGGGACGGTGAATCTTTTCACCTTGAGGTTACCAGGCATTTTTGAGTCCAGGTAACAACTTTTGTTGGCCATTGATTGCATTTTCACTTCAGCCTTCAGAGGAGGCAATTTGTAAAGAGAAATGACTTTTAGACTGTGCTGGTCTCTTGGCTGTCACGCTTTGGGAGTGAAAGTGAGACTATGCTGAGTGTTTCGTAGATTGGAATAAGTGAAGACAGAAGGAAACATCTAAAATATTTCAAAACTACAAGTCAAATTTTAGTTGTGTCAACCACGAACCATCATTTGATACACAGATAGCCAAGCTTTCACCAGTTTTTAAAGAATGAAACTCACCCACTGCTATTGTGTGTTTTTGCTCCCCAGCTCTTCCAGCAAACACAGTCTTGTTAATTTCTGGCCTAAATCAGATGACACTGACTTTCTTCTGGATAACAAGGTAAGTCTCTTTCGTAATGTTAGTTTTCTTCCTCTTAGTTTTGCATTGTATTGCACTTAGTCTTCAAATTTAACAGTGGTGTAGCTACCCTGAATTTATATGGAACATTGATCCGCGAAGTTCATTTTAGAGAACTATGCCTAGTCAAAAAGAATTTCCACCCCTTTGGTAAATAACTGGTACATACTTTGACGTATTTGTGACTGAAAAAACTAATGGGTTAGAAAACATACAGTGACAGGAAAATTGTGTCTGTCAAACCTTTGCCATGATGGCGGAAATACAAAATTTGGTCAAGGATCATTTGGATAAGTGGACCTTGCCATGGCTTGAAAATCTTACTACCAAGATCTTCATAGCACTCATACCTATATAAATATTTTATGATCTTATTAGTCCTTTCAATAATCAGGGAACTTTGGTGCCTTCATTTGAGCAACTTAGAGATAAAACATTTTTTCCTTTAAGTATATTTTATTTTACTGTCATACAGTTTTTATGAGAGCTTTTCTGTTGCCTTTATTGGTTCTGTTGTTGGACTAAAATAATATTGGAAACTGTGACAGCTTAGAAATTTAAAATGTTTCATCAAAGTTATCTGTATCTGTGTCTTCAAACTTTAGAAGTGCAGGATTTTCATTGTTGCTATTTTATTTCTTTTGTTCCTGGGAGTTGATCACAGGGCCTGTGCAAGAAGGTCTACCCCTGGTCCTCATTTTTTTAATTAATTGAATTTGTTTTTTAATCAGGACTGGAATTTGGGATCTTTAGCTTCACCTTCAGTGCTGGGTTGAATGTGCTACTACACCTGCCTGCACCTTGTTTTCTAAGTGATTCCTCCATTAAGAGGATAACATTTTTAAAATTTTTCATCTTTTTGAAGAATACTTGTTGTGGTCAAAATAATGACCAGTCCTAGAGCTAGATGGTCTAAAAAAGCAAGTGGTAATGATTAAGTAATTGTAAGCATTATAGTTTTTAAAATATACAGTTGAAGTGTCCAAATCTTTCTGACATTTCAAGTTTCAGAAGTTTTTGTACTTCCAAATATTCATTTAAAACTCCCGCAGTACTGTGAGTTTCTGGAGATTAGAAAGATGTTGTGTGAATTCTGAAGACCTGCAGTGCGGTGTTTTGTATTAAGAGGCATTTTAATACCATTTGAATGTTAATGAATGGATTTCTACCTAGTAGAATTTTTCAAGTAATGTATGCATGATTTATGTAATAAATAAGTACATTGAGTTTCTAAAAATATGCCCTAAAGTGTATATTTCCTTACTGTGCTTAGGATATATAATTTCAGGTTATGTTTAATGTTATGTCAAATAAGGAAACAAATCAGAGGAATGAATAGGTATGATACACACAGTACATTGTAGTATCCTTTAACTCTGAACATAGGTTAGAATGTCATCTTAAAATTTATTAATCTTTTCTTTTAGCCAGCTCCATGTTTACTAGGTGCATCTTTTCAAAGTGTAATTTTTCTATAGAATCCTGATTAGCAGTTGTTTCTCTGAATGAAAAACTCATGGAACATACTGTGTTTTCTTCTCTCTCTACTATAAATGCTTCAGTTCTCAGGTAGTGGTAAATAGCATGCAACCTTTCTTCCATTTGTAACTGTCATTGCATATGGTATAAATAGAAAATTAGAAGTATTGGGATATGCCATTTATTGGGAGAATAGGAATTTTTAAATAAGGTTTTACATTTCTCCCTCATGTTATAGTAGTATGCAAAAATACCTTATTCTGTAAATATATCACCATTTCCCTTCTATAATTTACAATATGTTTCCCTTTTTGAGAATGGACCTGGTTATACTTATCAGTTGGGCTTCTAACTCCTGGCTTCAGGAACCATCGTACCTCAGCTGCCCTATTAGCACAGGACACAGGTGCACATCAGCAGGCCTCCATTTCATTAAATCCTGGAAGATTTTTCTTTGAACAGGAATCTTTGGCAAAATCTTCAATGGATATTTTAGTGTTAAATCTTATGATTAAATTTTAAAATCATATTTATGTAGTGTCCCAGAAGTCAGCATTTACATATATCAATAAAAGTTTATGCTCATTTCCTGAAAAAAAGTTAGTGTATATCATTGAAAAATGGCATCTCCTTGATTTCATTTGAGGAATTTCAGAACCATGGATAGCATAGTTAGCATTACTACCTCAGTTTGCTGTATTCTACAAATACTTCACCTTTTGAACTGATATGATTTCCTGAGTGAGGTCATCTTCTCCCCTCCTCCTACAATGTGTCTGCAGTCCCAGGCCTCCAGCTTGATGTCTTTCTGCAGGCCTTGACTGTGACCTTTCCGCGATGATATTGGATGGCTCCAGACCTCTGAAGCTGAGAATTCCTGGCCCCAGCCACTCTTCTGATGACTATCGAGTCTTTCTTACTCTTTACATTCTGAGAACTGTTTTTCATTTCTAGACTCATTTTCTCACCCATCATGTAGACATTATATTCTTTTATGCTCTGCTGCCCATTAAACTCTGGCATTGATCTTACACTGCTGCCAAGAATCTGCAGATTCCCTTTTCACAAAGGGAAAGTTCCCATTCCAGCCTGAGATGAGTCTTGTGTGGTTCCCCTTGCTGCTCCTTTTTATCTGTTTGTGCCCTTCTGGAAACTATTCTAGTTGTATCATCTTCCTTGGGCAGCCCTCTTTTGCTGCATTGTTTCATGCCTCATCCTTTTGTTTCTGGTGTCCCTTTTTGAATTCTGAGGTATTTCATTTGTTCTTTAAATGAAATGGTATTCTTGAATTCGGAGGTGTTGCCTATCACTTGTAATTATTTTTGAAATAAGTATTGGTTGAGGTTTAAATGTAAATGTGATAATTTGACTTCCCTAGACAGCCTTCCTGTGTGCTTTCTCTCCCTTTCAAAAGAAATGGCCTTTCCTGAGCTTCCCAGATAGAACTGATTGTACTTGATTTGGATGTGTATCTTTGTACCTCATTTGTAGAATAAATGAAACACATTTCACTGTTTTCATTTGTGTTCATGTATCTGCATCTACTTCCATGCAGAGCAGAATGTGCTTTCTGTTTTCAGCTTTTCCCAGAGTAGTCACTGTGATTTGATAAATTTTTTCCCGCGATTGTTTCCATTATGCTGAGTGGGTCACTGGGCAATTGCATGCTTTGTAATGCTATTTTTGTTTTTGTTCTGCCTTTTTTTTGTTAGAAAGAAGCAGAAAGGCCAAAAATTATATGGCTGGAAAACGGTAAGTTTGTTCTTGTAAAAACACAAGAAGAGCAAACAGCCAAAAATGTGACTAATGTGGATGAAGAGAAGAAAACTCCTCAAACTGGTAAGTTAGTGACTAGCTATGAAAATCGTTCTTGTTCATATGCTATTATTTTCAAATGTGTGTAGATCCAAAACATAATATCCATTTCTTTTAAAATTTTATTGTCTTATTTTTCTTCCACCAACATATTTCTGAACCTGTTTCTGAAATTCTTTTCACATTGACTTGTATCTTAGTGAAATATTCATGAATGCAGATGGATTTGCATACATGAGTAAAATTTATTGTAGTGAATATAACTAATGTGTCTGTGACTACATTTTATAGATACTGTGTTGCCACTGGAAGCACAGACAGATGATGAATCTCCTTGGGATTCTGAGGTATTGCCTGTAATTATTTTTGAAATAAATATTGGTTGAGGTTGAAATATAATGGGAAAATTTGACTATACTTTCTCACCTGTTCATATACCTGTAAGAAATTTTTCCTTACAGTTTTTAACCACAGTTCCTAATTTCCTGTGTAGCTTAGCTGTTTAGTATGATTATGTCTCAAAGAGTTAATGCCACTGGGTTCATAGATGAATGCAATTGCCCTGTGCTGAATCCTTTGTACTGCAGGTGAAGGAATAAATGAATGGAGTCTGAGCACACCTTTGCTACCTGTGTAAGATTCATTTAAGGAAGCCAGTGCAGTTAAAAACTAGGAGCAACATGTCATAAGCAATCAGCTTGGATTCTGAAACTAAGCTGAGCAAAAACTGAGGAATTCTTCCCAGTCAGTCTATGGCCAATGGGTGAAAATTCTGCTGAGATTCAGACAAAATGTTTGGATCATAATTTTTACAGTTTTTTACTTGACAGAGTAATAAATGATAATTGCAATAGTTAATATGTTTGGGTTTCCTGGTGTCGATCTGAACGTAGTAATTCAATAGAATCAAGGACTCAAGATGTAAATACATGGTGTTATACTCACAGTTTGGTGTTATATTATTTGAAAAAACAGAAACCAATTTTGAAAGTGGAATGCAGTGAGTCTCTTTATGGCAGCCATGCTTGTACTGATAAAAATGTAAATAATGACAAATTGTGTTAGAGTGAACATTTTGATTTTTTGTTTGTTCTGTTTTGTTTTTCGGTTACTGGGGTTCAAACTCACAACCTTGTGCTTGCCAGAGAGGCACTTCAGCCACTGAGCTAAATCCCTGGCCCTAGAGTGAGCATTTTGGGAAAGGGCTAATGTCTTTGTTCCATGCAGCTCCTGCATTGTGGTACCAGGATGGTGGTTGAAGTCACAAGATGTGTTAGTATTCTGTCTGTTAGTAACTGCTAAATCTTGGAAACATAATTTAATGAATTTGGCTTTTGGTGACCTTATTATACCATGAAGATGGCACATGATCTACTACTTATGTGATGCTTTCTATATGTCATAGGAAATTTGTGATAAAAATTATAAAAATACTTTGAAAGTATAAAAGGTTTTACCTGAATAAATATTGAAGATTTTTTCCTAAACATGAGATCAGCAAAATAATAATGTGAAGAAAAGAGTAAGAAAGATGAGAGGGGCATGTAGATTGCTGGTTTGTAAATGGTAAAACTCTTAGTAAAACTGTTGATGGAGACAGCATATAGGAAGAGAGTGGCTTGGTGCTTGAGGCTTCCCTGATGAGATTTTAAATGTGAACTTGAATAAATCTCTGTTTTAGAGTACCACTGTGTACCAAGTAGTGAGATACTGAATATCTTAGGTGAAGACTTATGTTATCATGATAGAGCAGTCAAATGAACAAGAAGCACTTTTTATTTCATTAATTTGAATCCATCCTGTGGCCTTCCCATGGCACTACACCACCAGCCATATTAGACTTGAGACAGGGTCTTTCTATGTAACCACATTCCCAAGACTGGGCTTGAACTGGTGCTTGTCATGCCTTACCCTTCCAGAAGTTTGGAATTACAGGTGTGCACCACTAGCCCTGCAAATGTTAAAGAATTTTCGAGGGGGGTTTCAGTACAGATGGGAATGAGAGTGAACTGCTGCTAATATAAGAGTGAACAGGAGCCAGCACAGTAAAGTCCAGGAGGACACTGTGGGCAGGACCATGAGCCCTGTCTGTCCATCACTGCAGCACCCTACAGTGACCAGGAAGCAGGAAGTGCAGTTACTTCCTCACAGTTATTTACAGTTTTGTAACAGATAGAAAAGAAAATGTGTAAGTCGGTATGTTGTAAATTGGGGGCACTTTGTAAAAAAAGTTTTTATGTTGCAGTCTTTTTTCATACTTTTTCAAAGTTTTTCTTAATTGGGAAAGAGTTGTATATAACATCTCATATTCATGTGCTATTTCTTGAATATAACATGAAGTTATCAGTATATTTTTATTTTCAAACATTTTTCTATCAGTAAAAATATTATCTCAGAATTGCTTTTCTTTCAAGTCCTTGTTTACACAAGTGAAGTAGTGCCTGCAATGATGTTTTTACTCAGCATGGCTCTCTGAAGTTTCTTACTGGCCGAGTATCTTAACAGTGACATGACTTCTGTGAATAGAATGCTTAATGCTGAATAATAACAAGTATATTTATAAGAATTTGTTTATTCAGGGAAGGGAAAGTGATATTAGGGTATAAAGGGAACCAAGGTAATCAAGAAATGATAACTCATGTAGCAGTTCCCCAAAACAAGTGTAATTGTTACATATCACAAACATGCACTCATAAAAATGGCTTCATGTAAATCTGTATGTTTCAATGTTACATTCATTGGAGAGTGCAGCGTACCGTTGACTCTTGTGAAGCTAGGATGAAATAGGTTTGTCAGACAGAATTTTGTCTCTGAATCCTTCCTGTAGCATTCCATGCCTGCTTTACAAAGTCAGCACCCATATGGAGACAGCAGCTGGGCTTGTCATAAGGTTCATATGGGAGACATTTTGGTTCTCAGTATATGCTTCCCATTATTAAACCTGCTTGCCTTAAGATGGTAAAAATCAGATAGTTTCTTTGGAAATGAGTAAGAAATGCTTCTGTAACTCATTACTGCTATATGAATTTTCACAGAGTATCTCTGAGAATCTTCCACAGCAGCCTGTCGATCCTTTTCCTGGGGATGCAGATGATGGAGGAAAACATGCAGGAAATACACAAACAAAAGGTAGGAAATATGTGTAATTTATTTAGAGAAGTTATTTGATAGTTATTTAGCTAAAAGTAGAGCATTGCTGGATTATAATAGTCAAAAAACTACCCATGAGTTGGATAGTAAGAAAAAAGAAGTAAATCAGTAGTAAGTTTTATATACTTTGAAGTTTAAGTAATAGGTTAATTTGAGGGTCACTGAGGGAGCTACCTTGTTAGCACCATTTCAAGGCATTCTAATGTCTGAGGGAAGTTAGAAAATTAATAGGAAAGAAAGGAGTGAAGAATGCGAAAGCAATAATACAGGGAGTAAACAAAGAAAACAAAGTATGGAGTGTGGAAAAATGAAGTAATTCTTTTTTTTTTTTTTTTTTGGTCTTTTTCCTTTTTTATTGGTACCAGGGATCGAACTCACGACTGCCTGCTTGCAAGGCAGGCACTTATGCCACTGAGCTAAATCCCCAGCCCCTGAAATGAAGTAATTCTTAAGAGAAGGAAGATCAAGGTAGCAGAAGTGTAGAAATTGTATCAATTGAGCATTGAGTAGCAAAACTTGATAGAGAAGTAGAGCAGAAGTTTTTCACTTTCCCTGTCTTCTTACCACTGGAAAGGCATCAAGGACTGAAGTACTAGATTATGCAGAGCTCTTCTTTATTCACTACAGATCAGAATAAACAAGCAAGGTCAGCTATATGCGTAGTTTCACTGGTACCTTGGTTCATGCACTTACTTCTCCCACAATGCTGGTTGCAGAATTCCATTTACAGTTTTACCACTTAAAAAGAGTTGCTGTTTCATCATGTAGTGTATCCAGAATGAGACAGTAAAAAAATAGAAAGAAAGGAATGCTTTTTGAGATCAGCAAAGTCATAGTCTCAGTAAAAAGTCCATAAGAAAGTGGTTGACATTCGTGCATTTTCAATTTGGGTGACATGATGAGGAGGAAGTCAGCACCACTTTCCAAAACGGGAAAGAAGGGAAGGGAAGAGGATTTGAAAGAGACTCAGGGAAGGGAAGAGGATTTGGAAGAGAATGTGTGTGCCAGATCTTTTGTGAAGAAATGAAGCCCCTGTTGGGGAACATGTTACACCACATATTTGATTCACAAGGACTGAGGAAGTGTATTGGTAGTAAGTTCTCTGGAAAGGCTGACACCGCTCATCCTCAGACCACTGGAGGTGGCCCAATATCAAGTTTCCTGTAGAGAAATCTGGAGAAGAACCATAAGTTGAGAACTAGATCAAGACATAACAGGGTCAAGGGGGAGCATAAATCTTTTTTTCTTAATTTTATTTTAAACAGAGTAAAATTAAGCATAAAAAAAGATAACAAAACAAAACATAAGAAAGCAGTGTAAGAGACACATTTCAAAGCAAGACATCAGTAGATCTTCACTACCTGTTATACTTTCTCTTGTTTTCTTCCAAATACTTGTCCATATCTTCACATACAGTGAATTTATACAAAACAACATAGTATAAAACTGATCCAAACAGGATGGTGAAGGCATTTTACGTCTTCAAGACCAGACAATAAGGAAATCGACAATGGCTGTCATAGTGTTCCTCATTCTCTTCAAAATCACTGTCCATTCCTTCATGCATTTTGAAATTAAACAAAACAGACTAAAATCCCTTGGAATAAAGAATAATAATTTGCTGGATTTCACATCATGATGCTACAGAATCAGAACTGGGTCCCTTAGTGTCTCTTTTTCTTCAAAGTAGTTGTTCATTTTATTGTGCATTATATAATCAGTTCTCATAAACTGTTTAGAAGTTCTACACATGCACGAGTCTCTATATGGATAGCTATCCTTTCTGTATTGGAGGGAAAAACAAAACAAGACAAAACAAAAACTCCTAGAAAAACACAAAATGAAAAAGTCATATAAAACCATGACACAAGGTGACCTACAATGGTTACTATGATGTCTCTTGTTATCTTCAATAGAATTGTCTATATCATCAGGCATAGTATAATTGAACATAGCAGTATATAACAATATTAATAAAAACAAAACATTGGAGACATTATAAGACTTCAAAAGCAGGTAATAATCAAACCAGAGTGGGTATCCTAGTAAATCCTGTCATCTTCAGTGTAGTTGTCTATACTCTCAGACTTGATACTATCAAATCATAACAGATTTGAATAAGATCAGTCAAGACGAGACAGTGATCTGACAAACCAGATTCAAATAAGATCAGTCATAATAAGACAGTATAAGTAATACAGGGCTTCAGATTAATTTAATAGGAAATTAAGGATGGTTACTGTGGTATATCCTGCTATTTTTGGAGTAGCTGTCTGGCCATTAAGTCTACTACAGGTAGACTGGCTGGAATAAAATATAACCAAACTAAACAAAATGATAAGAACAATGTGGATTTTAAATCGTGGTACACTATTAACAATGTCCTCTGCCTTCCTTTTTAGACAATTCCTTCCCTTTTACTTTCACTTTCATGGGTTACATTGTACATTTTGGTTCCCACTAACTCCCTTTAGTTTGTAGGTTAGGGATGCAAGCTGTTATTTACCCAAGTGGTTCTGAAACTTTTTACCCCTGGGCTTGATCTTAAGTTGGTTTCCTGCACGTACAAAAGCCTCAAGACTTTTGCTTCATTATAGCTTCTTCTCCACTGCACAAGTGTCATGTCTTTCCAAGCTATCTTCAGGTGCTGGACGAGCTGCCCCTATTTCTCTCTGGTTCCCTGTCACATAGAGCATTGTTTTTTCATATTTGACTTTTGGTCCATAAACCCTCTTTCACGTTAATTATATTTCCCACACAGAGGAAATTTTCGATGGGCCCTATCTCCTGATCTACTCTGCCTGTGTTTCTTTTTGTTAGTGTATCAAGGCCATCTATGTTAGAGATTATAGCCAACCTTCTCTGCCTCATTTCTGTTATGCTATTTTTCTGCTATTGGTTGTCTACTTTTCTCCTTCATTCCATTGTCTGCCCCATTCATTGAGGCCTCTCTGCCACTGTTCCTGAAATCCTGGGTTTTTTTTCTCCCTCTCTAGAATGTCCTTCAGTATTTTTTGTAGGGTTGGGTTGGTGGTCACGAACTCCCCCAGTTCCTCTTTGTCATGGAAGCATCTTGTTTCTCCATTAATTTTGAGAGACAGTTTTTCAGGGTATGTCAGTCTGGATTGGAGGTTATTTTCTTTCAAGGCTTGGAATAATTCACTTCAAGTTCTTCTTGATTTGATGGTTTGTGTCAAGAAGTCTGTCATGAGTTTGATGGGTTTTCCTTTAGAGGTGATCTATTTCTTTTCTCTGACAGCTTTCAATATTCTGTTCTTGGGATGAATTTCTGGGATCTTGATTATTATATGTCTGGGTGGTAGCTCAGTTTTGTTTTAGGTGGCTGGAGTTCTGTATGCCTCAAATAGCTGAATATCATCTCCTTTTCCTATGCCTGGGAAGTTTTTCTTAATTATTTCTGTGAATAGCCTTTGTATCTGCTTTGTGTTTACTCCTGCTTCTTCACTCATTTTTATTCTTAAACTATGGATCATCCTCTTGTTGTCTTCTAGCCTTTGTATTGTTACTGCCTATTTCTTTGTTATTTTTAAGAGATCTTTCCTTTCACAATCACACATTGCAAACCTATCAAGTGTTGTTAATGTATCCCTAGTTTCCTTCAGGCAATTTTGCTATCTTTCAATGTAGTTTTAAATTTCCCGGTAATCTCTTTGACTCTGTTGCATGTATTCTAGTTTTATTTTATGGTCTTCTATGAAGGTTTCTCTCCTTTTTCATGTTCCTCCATTTTTCCATCTATGTCTTCTTGGGAGGGGCTTAGCATTTCTTTTATTAATCTTACATCTTACTGTAGTTGTATTAATATTTCAGTTTTCAGTTCATCTATAATGTCACGAAGATATTTCTTTATGTCAGCTGATACCATGTCAAATATCTCATGTTTGCTGCCCTCAATCTGTTCGGTATATACCTCTCCTGGCCCCCATATTCCCTGGTTTGACTGGAGGCTTTTTCTTACTTCTTTCTCTTGTTATGTATCTTGCTTCCTCAATACAGGTGTATCGTGAAGGTCCCAGCCCCTTTCCTATTGGTTATGGTTCTTCTGAAGTGTGCTGGCTAGGGATTGCAGCCTTCTCCATTTTGTTGTTGGTCATTGAGGTGCAAGCAGGGGTGGTGTAGGATGGCCCCTACCCTCTGAGCCAGTCAACCAGTGGAGGCCTTCACCACATTAGTTTGTGCAGCGAGGATGGAACTGGTTTAGGAAAATGTCAGGGACAATTTCAACTCTGGCTATTGGGTGCTGGCCAAAGGCATGACCCAGCCCTGTCAGATCCCACCCATGTGCTCTTGGCAGGGAGCAGCCAACTGAAGTCACTGCCATTCCTTGTTCTGGCCCATCCTGCCCAATATCAATATGTCATCTGGTTGGTCACCTAATCTCTCCCAGGAGGGCCAGATTCTGAGCACTCACTGCAGGTTAGTGCAGGTCTCCACACTGGCTCTGTCCTCCATTGGGCTTACCAAACCCTGACTTCAGCACAACTGTGGCTCCAGTGAGAGCACTGCCACGCGAGTCCAACTGGCTCAGGTGAGAGTGCCACACCCGTGAGTTGGACTGGCTCTGGTGAGCGTGCTTCTGGCTCCAGCCTTCTGTCCACATTTTTCTTTTCTTTTTTTAAAAATCTTTTTCCTCAGTTTCTTCCTGAGTCATTGAGAGTCCATTTCCTTTCACCCAGTCTTCTGCATGGTGGTAAATTCTAAGTGTCTGAGCTGTTTCTCCCAGAGAGGCTCTGTACCTTGTTACTTACTGATCCACCATCTTTCCCGTGACTGCTGAACAAGGACAATCTTATAACAGAATCAACACTCAAAAGTCAGCTACAACTTGAAGATGTCTCTGAGGAGTAGTAATTTCCCAAGTCATTGCTATTGATAGCAGCAATAAAGATAACTACCATAAACAATTTATAAGGATCAGTGCAGCAATTTCACTGAAATAAAAATAGAAAATGCGAAGACATAGAAGCCAAATGGAACTCTGGATCTGCAAGTCCCCAAAGGCAAATTTAAGAGGCAATGAGGTGGAACAATTGAAAAGCCACCCTTCTGGACTCTTATGAAGTGGTATCAGTGAAGGTAACAGAGCAGATGCATGAGGCTCCCAGTGTCTGACCTGTTCTCCCCGTCCTAAGCTCCACCACAGCTCAGCACTCCCCCAGGGCAGGACTGCTGCGGTAGGTCGTGCCCCTAGAGAGCTCCCTCCTGGGACCAGAGACTGAATGGGAATCATATGCCTCCTCAGCCTCATCCCATAAATCTTGTTTTTATTTCTGAAAATATTTCTAGCCAAAGGGGAAAGAGTAAAGAGATGAAAAACAAATTGTAATTCTAAGATACTACTGCCATTTCTGCCAAATAAAGAAAGGAATGGTAGGAATAATCCATAAAAAGCAGTAAATGGAAACAATCAAGACCATCGAACTAGAGGTCAGTTGGGAGAGGAACAGGGATTTATTGGGGGAAGAAAATAGGAAATAACAAAGCTAAACATAATTTTGGAACAAATGATGAAACATGAGAGCACTTACTCCTCACAGCTTCAGTGTTTGTGCTCACAAATGGCAAAGTCAATTCTTGCTGCTGCAGAGATGATTAGAAGCAGGGACAAGGGCTAGACTTGCCTTACACTGTAGGTACTTCCCTCCCCTCCTAAACTATCAGGCATCAGAGATTTCTGTTAAATTGATAATTATTCAAGTGACATTAATGTACACATAGAAGCATTGACTCATTTTAAGATAAGTAAGTTGTGATAAAATAGCTTTTTCACACAAATCCTTTAAAAAGTAACATAGAGACACTCTTTGGTTCATTCCTTCAATGCGGTATCAGTGGAAATCACTGAGAAATTCCCACGTAGCTTCTCCTCAGCCATGTCCCCAACTTTCACAAAACCTGCTTGTGTAAGGAGTAATGATATTGATGAGTAGTGTATAAAAATCTCACTAGGCATGGTGCGTATGCTTTCAGTTCGAGCTATTTGAAAATTTGAGGGAGAGGGATCACTCATCTGCAGGAATTTAAGGGCACCTTGGCAGCATAACAAAACCTCATCTTTTAAAACATAAATAGCATTGACACACCGTTTGTGAGCTCTGCTGTGCTGGGTGTCTCGAGAGCACCTACGTGTAGTGCAATGCTGTACCAATGGATGATGTGGTTTGTTCAATTTATATGCTGTTCTCTTCTTTCAGCTTTGACAGTCAGCCTCTCAGGGTCATGATGGATCCCAAAATCACTTTTTCACAACACCCGACATGTATAGATTGGTATATACTCACTTCCTGTTTAGTTATGGCATTTGGAAGAATAATGTCACATTGGAAATCATGTTCAACCTGTATTCTAATTTTTCTCTCATATTGATCCGACCAATGGGAAAGCAAAGTCAAAAATCTGAAGAACTCATTTCCAAAGTAAAGCATGTATCCTAACTCTGTGAGAATGTATGTTTGGCTTTCTCATATTTTCTTATATAGATTATTTTTCATTTTCCTTTTTAGATTTACCTGACACACATCTTCACTTGAAGGTAATGACTGTATATTTGTGTTCTGAATCAACTTCACATTTTGGAGCTGTGGAGTGTTCATTAAGCATTTGACTTTAAAACCCATTCAGCCTGCCATGGAAGCAAAAGATTGTGTTGCGAAGAAAGCAGTAGGAATAAAGGATGTAAAGACATTTCAACCAGGTAAATCTAGCAATACACATGACTCTGGAAAGAAATACAGTAGCTTACTGTGTTTGATGTGCCCACAATCATCTCCATTTTTTCTCCAATTTTGGAAAGCTTTGACATAAACACTGAAGATGTAAGTATTGGTGTCTGTGTTTGCAAATAGGTGCTAAAAAGCACAAGAGAAAACAACTTTTAATGTGTTGTTTACTTATGTTTCAATACCCAATGTTCCCAGTTTGCATCCTTTTTTATTGACAATTTTAAGTTTTATTTTAAAGAGATTAAGACAAAAGAAGACAGAACAAAGCAGGTCAGAGCAGAACAATGTAAGCAATACAGCACTTCACTACAAGACAACTGGATAGTAACAGTAGCAACCAAAATTTGAAATAGTTGAGTATACCTTCACATATAATAGTATCAAACATAACAAAATAGTGTAAAACTATTCAGGAGAATAAAAGTATTATAGGGCATTCAGAACCAAAGAACAGAAAATTAATAATGGCTATGATATTAACTCTTTTTCTATAGCAAATTTGTTTATACTATCACATATATTAAAATCCAATAAGACGCAACATGATAGAACCAATGGAAACATAAGAACAAAAGCATAGTAGGGCTTCAAAACAAGATGATATTACATCAGTGCAATGGCTGCCATAATGTCTTGTTTTCTTCAAAATAGCTGTTCATACCATCACACACAATCAAATCAAACAAAACAGAATAAAACCATTCCAACTAATTAATGAAAACATTATAAGGCTTCAAAGCAATGTAATGGGGAATCAAGACTACCATAAATCCTTTTGTACTCTTACCATGTCTTACATTAGGGAGACTATATGGTATTTAAATACGAGTTTTTATTTTGCTTATGAGTATGGTCTCAAGTTGCATCCATTTATTTATAGATATCTCAATGTGATCCTTCTTTATAGCTGAGTAGTACTCCATTGTATAGAAATACCACATCTTTTTTATCCATTCCTCAGTTGATGGACACTTAGACTGTTTCCAAGATATGGCTATTACAAATTGTGCTATTATGAACATGGGTGCACATATATCACTGTGGAATGGTGTTTTCAGTTCTTCTGGGAATATGCCCAGAAGTGAAATAGCTGGGTCAAATGGGACTTCCAATCTCAGCTTTTTGAGGAATGTCGAGACTGATCTCCCCAGTGGTGGCACCAGTCTACACTCCCACCAGCAGTGCAGGAGAGTTCCTTTTTCCCCCACACTCTCTCCAGCATTTGTTGTTGGTAGTTTTCTTGATCCTGGTCATTCTTTCTGGAGTAAGATGGAATCTCAGTGTTGTTTTAATTTGAATTTCTCTAAAGACTGATGATGATGAATATTTTTTCATGTATTTATTTGCCATTTGCATTTCTTCATCTGAGAACGTGTATTCATCTCAGATGCCCATTTTTGGATTGGGTCTTTGAATTTCAGGGGTCTCATTTTTTTAAAAAAATTCTTTATATGTTTTAAAAGTCCTTTGTCTGAGGGACAGTTTAGTGAGAATTTTTTTTCCCCAGTTTGTGGGTTTTATTTTCACTCTGCTGGAGACTTCTTTTGACATGCACAAACTTTTTAATAGGACATCATCCCAGTTATTGATTCTGGGAAGTATTTCTTGTGTGGTTTGATTCCTGTTCATGAATTCCCTACCTACCCTTATGTTTTCAAGATTTTTATCTAAGATTCAAGATTTTTGTCTTCCAGCAGATTTAGTGTTTCTGTTTTAATATTCAGATCTTTGATCCATTTAGATTTTAGTTTAGTACGTGGTGATAGGCATGAGTCTAGGTGTAGTTTTCGGCATATGAGGAGCCATTTTTCCAGCACCATTTATTAAAGAGACTGTCATTCTTCCAGTGAACATGTCTTTATCAAAGATAAGGTGGTTGAGTGTGTTTGCAGTTATGATTGTGTCTTCTAATAATCTATTCCATTGATCTTCAGATCCATATTTATTCCAGTACCATGCTGATTTTATTACAGAAACTCTGTAGTATAACTTCAAGTCAGGGATAGTGATGCCTCCTGTCTTGCCTTTGCTACTTCAAACTGCTTTGGTTACCCTAGGTCTCTTTTGGTTCCAGGTGAATTTTAGGCATTATTTCTCTAGATCTGTAAGGTTTGTTAATGGTATTTTCATTGGGATTGCATTGCATCTGTATATAACACTTTTGGGCGAATGATCATTTTCACAATATTTATTCTTATCCATGAACAATGGATGTCTTCCCATTTTCTGATGTCTTCAATTTCTTCTTTCAGGGTATTATAATTTTCCCTGTAATTCTTTTACTTGTATTGTGAGATTAATTCCTAAATATTTCATATTTTTGGATGCCAGTGTGAAGGGTGTGGCTTCTCTTATTTCTCTGTCTGTGATTTTGTTGTTAGTGTATAGGAATGCAATTGATTTTTGAGTATTGACTTTGTATCCAGCTGCACTGCTGAACTTATTTATTATATCTAGAAGTCTTTCAATGGAGTTTTGGGGGTCTTCTGTGTAGAGTATCATGTCATCTGCAAATAATGATAATTTAACTTCCTCTTTTCCTATGTTTACTCCTTTTATTTCTCTCTCTTGTCTAATTGCTCTGGCTAGTATTTCCAGTACTATGTTAAATAGGAGCGGTGATGAGGGACATCCTTGTCTTGTGCCTGATTTTAAGGTAAAGGCCTTCAGTTCTTTGCCATTTAATATGATTCTGGCTCTTGGTATGTCATTGATGTCTTTTATCATACTGATGTAAAGACCATCTATTCCAATTTTCTGTAAGATTCTTATCATGGATAAGTGTTGGATCTTATCAAAAGCTTTTCTGCATCTATAGAAATGATCATGTGATTGTTACTTTTGGCTCTATTGATATGTAGGATTACATTTATTGATTTATGTTTGTTGAACCATCCCTGCATGGATGGGATGCATCCCACTTGGTCATGGTGTGTAATCTTCTTGATGATTTGCTGTATCCTGTTTGCCAATATCTTAATGAGGATTTTTGCATCTATGTTCTTTAGGAAGATCTTTTTTAGTTGGGTCCTTCTCAGATTTTGGTAGTAGGGTAACAGTTGCTTCCAGGAATGACTTGGGAAGAATTGCTTTCCTTTTGATTTCATTGAGGAGTTTGAGGAGTGTTGGCATTAAGTCTTCATTGTATTTCTTGTAGGATTCCACAGTGAATCCACATGGGCCTGGGCTCTTCTTTGTAGGTAAGGACTTAATTATGTTTTCAATTTCATTAATTGAATTTGGGTTATTCAGCAGTTTGACATCTTCTTGACCCAGCTTTGGTAGTTTATATGTTTCTAGGAATCTGTCTATATCTTCTGTGTCATCGAACCTATGAAAGTAGAGGTTTTTGAAATAGGTGTTAATGATCTTTTGTGTTTCTGCAGTCTGCAGTGACTTCGCCTTTTTCATTCCTTATTGCATGAATTTGAGTTTTTTCTTTCCTTTTTTAAAAAAAGGTTGGTTAGTGGATTATCAATTTTATTTATTCTTTCAAAGAACCAACTCTTTGATTCATTGATTCTTTATATTGTTTTCTTAGTCTCTATTGCATTAATTTCTGCTCTGATTTTTATGATTTACTCCATTCTTATGGCTTTGAGCTTGACTTGCTCTTCTTTTTCTAGATGTTTGAGGTGTAGCATCAAGTTGCTTGTTTTTGTTCTATAGTCCCGATGTGGGAGCTCAGTGTAATTTTTCTCTGAGGGCTGCTTTCATTGCATCACACAGATTCTGGTAAGTTGTATTTATATTTTCATTTGCTTGTAGGTATTGTTTAATTTCTCTTTTAATTTCCTTTGTGACTCACTGAATGCTCAAGAGTGTATTATTCAATTTCCATGTGTTTGGGGGATTCTTGCCATTTCTTTTATCATTAATTTCTAGTTTCATTGTCCTATGATTTGATAAAATGCATGGGATAATTTCAACTCCTTTGCATTTACTTAGATATGTTCCATGGGCTAGTATATGGTCTCTTTTAAAGAATGTCCCATGTACGGCTGATAAGAATATGTATTCTGATGTTGTTGAATGGAACACTGTATACGTTTATCAAATCCATTTGTTCACAGCTATGATTCAGTTCTGTTATTTGTTTGCTGATTTTCTGTCTGGTTGATCTCTCCCTTAGTGCCAAGGGTGTGTTAAGGTCTCCTGTCATAATTGTGTTATTACTTATTTGATTTTTCATTTCTGCTAATATTTGCTTTGTATAGCTGGGTGTTCTGGAATTTGGTGCATGTATATTTAAGATTGTTATCTCTTCCTCTTGAAGTTTTCCCCAAACTACTATGTAGTGACCTTCTTTATCTCTTTGGATTATTCTTGGTTTCAAGTTCACATTGTCTGCAAATAGAATAGTTACCCCTAATTTTTTAAATTCCTGTTGCATGAAGTATTGTTTTCCATCCTTTGACTTTCAGTCTATGAGTTTCCTTTTGGGTTAGATGGGTTTCTTGTGGACAGAGTTTGATTTGATGTTGTTTCTTAATCCATTCTGCCAGTCTGTTTCTTTCAATGGATGAATTGATTCCATTTACATTAATGGTTATAGCTGTTCTACACTGCTTTATTGTTGACATGTTTTCTTTCTGCTGTTGTATCTTTACCTTTCTATTCTGTTTAATTGGTATGTCATAGATGTCCTTTATCATATCGAGGTAAATATTGCTTAGTAGTCTTTTCCTATGTGTATCTAGAATGTGTTTCAGTATTCTTTTCCAGATTGGTTTGGTATTTATGAAGTTCGTCAGCTGTTCTTTGTCATGGAAGTATCTTATTTCTCCATCCATTTTGAAGGACAGCTTTTCAGGGTATATCAGTCTGGGTTAGAAGTCATTTTCTTTTAGGATCTGAAATACTTCGCTCCATGCTCTTCTTGACTTCATTGTTTGTGTTGAGAAGCCTTCTGTGATTCTTATATGTTTTCCTTTATAGGTGGTCTGTCTTTTCTCTTTAACAGCTTTTAATATTCTATTCTTATGTTTGATTTCTGGGTGGTGATTATTATATGTCTGGGTGGTTATGGCTATTTGGAGTTCTATATGTTTCACTAATCCATATGTCAGTTTCCATTTTCATGTTTGGGAAATTTTCAGCTACTACTTGTGTAAATAGCCTCTTCATATCATTTGTGTTGTCCCCTTCTTTTTCATTTATCCCTATCAATCTCTTGTTTTTATTTGCATCATGTTGCATTGCTTGAATTGTTATCTCCTGATTCCTTGTTATTTTTAAAATATCTTTCCTGTTCACTAGCTGAAATCTTGTCTTCGAGGTCTGAAGTTCTATCTTCACTCCTTGTGACAGTTTTGACAACTTTCAATGAAATTTTTGTTTTCCTGTATATCTCTTTGAATCTGCTTCATGCATTCTGTTTCTTAAATTGTTCATCCATGAATTCTATGTTTTTACATTATTCCTCTAATTATTTAACTGTGTCTTCTTTAGATATGTTCAGCATTTCTTTTATTACCTTTATCATTTCTTCTTTTACTTGAGAGATTATTTCTAATTTGAATTCCTTTAAAACTTCTCAGAGTTGCTTCTTTAATTCATTTCATATTATTTCAGATATTTCAGGTATATGGCATATATTTTCTTCTATGTATATGGTTTCCAGGCTATCTTGGGATGGGCTGGAGGTTTGATATTGCATTTTGGTCTTCTGTCTTGTCATTTTCCTAGAATTCTGTGTTTCAAAAGATGTTCCAAAGCTTCCCCTGGGTGTGTTGGTAATTGTCTCCTGTGCCCTTGGCTCCTGGGACTGAATGGAGGTTGGAGATCATGGTCCAGTCATACCCACAGGAACTTTCATGCCATCTCCAGTGTTTCAGAAAGCTGGGTGAGCTCCTAATCAGGGTTAGGGATGGTCCAAATGTCTCCCTAGGCTAGCACCAATGTGCTAGAACTAACCTCCAATACATTCATCTCCACTGATTGAAGAAGGTCACAGCGTATAGTCCATTTGAGTCCATGAAAGCTGCAGAGATCAGTATAGTGTGGCTGGAAGCTGGGCAGGCACTTAACCACTGGGAGCAATGATCTTAAACTCTCCCAATTTGGATTCTTATATTTCACAGGGATCCACAGATCTAACTATAATATTTGAAGATGGTTTGAAAGTTTGTGGATTCTTGGTGGAGTGCTGGGTCCTCTGGCACATCCCTGAGTCCCTATTAATTCAGGAAGTTGTGGTAAGAGGTTCACTGGTACCCAGGACCTTATCTCTCAGTTCAACACCACCAGCAAAAATGCCTCCAGTAATTCTGATTTGTACCTTGACTAAAGCTTTCCTTAATAACAAGCCAAATGCATTTCCATTCTATTTCATCTAATTATTAGAATATTCATGTTTGCAAGCAGACAGATGTTCACAAAAGCAGACTGTATGAATGTGTATGTATGGTGTGTAACAGTTTGATTAGTAAGAATGGGGTCTATAATCATTCCTTGGTGCCTGCTAGATAGAATTTTACAGACCAGTGATTGTGAAACTTAGGTCTGATTCCTTGTATAGTAGTTAAGGTTCTTACAGATTCTACAGGACCTTTTATTTTTAAGCATGTTGAAATCTATTGACACTGTAGAAGAAACTGAATCTGAAAGAGGTAAAATATAGAGACCTGGGATTAAATTCAGCAGCATGAGTGTCTGCTTGCCAAGTACAAGATGATGAGTTTGATCCAAGGTGCAAAAAGAAAGAAAGAAACAAGCAAGAAAGCATTAAAATAGTGGCATGCATACATATGTCGACATTCATGAGAGCTGTGATTCAGAATCTTTTGAACTGTGACACATGACATATTACATCTCTGAAAACCCGCTGTGCTATGCCTGAACAAGAAAGAGAATCAGCATGAAATGGAACATAACTTTTCATATGATTGGTCTTCTTAGAACCTAAGCCTCCAACAATTCTAATGCACTGTTAAACTACCATTCCAAAAACATGGGAAATCCACGAAAGCCATATGATAAAAAACTTCTTCACTGGGAAATGCCTTTTAAACTCTTATGTCTCCTGTTTGTTTTGACTTGTGTTAAAATTTGCAAATCTTCCAATGTGATTTATAAAGAAAAAAAGATATATTTTCATTATGCTTTCCTTTGCTGTTTCCTGGTGCTCTGCATTCACTAATGTGAACCTAGGTCAGAGACAGCAAACTTCTAGGCCTTTCAATGATGGCAAAGAGCCCACTGTGCAACATGTGCCAAAGGTTCACCACGATTCACCTGGAATAAACCAGTTTGCACATGAGCACATTTAGGTCACTGAAAGCTAGCACTTTTCTTAGGAATTTATGATGTTATCAAAACCCGGAGAAGGGAATTCTCACAACACTGATGTATTGAAGAATGTATCTCATTGTAGTTCCCCATTTGAAAGTAGAATATTCATTCACATCCATACCTTTGACTGGGGAAAAAATAGTGTGTTTATATTCAAGTGGATAATTTTCATGTATTTTTTCAAATTGCTTTCATTGGTGCATTTTAGATATCCATAAGGATCACATTCATTAAAGGAAGTTTCTCCCTGTACCTGATAGTCTTATTTATTTTTCCCCTAGTCACTTCTTCTCCCTTCAACTCCTTATCTTACTGTCCTTATTTAAAAATTTTGTTTCCATTTTCTTCTGTTTGCTCCTTTTTTTCCCTTTACATCCTTTACTTCCTTACCCTCCCACCACTTTACCATTTCTATTTGAATATTTTCTATCTTTTGCACAGTTGGGCCATTACACTTTTCAGTTTCTCCCACTAGCAAACAATATGATATTGAAATTTGTGCTTGTGACTCATTTCACTTAACCAGTGGAGTCTTTGTCCCCATTCTTTCCATCCACCCTGCCTCTTCTTTGCTTCCCCTTTCTCTAGAAGAATTGCTCCCTATTTCACAATGCCTTTTATACACTTTGCTCATTCTTTACACACTTAACATCTCAAAGCAGTGAAATATAATTCATATCCCTAAAGTTTTAACAATCAAGAGTACTAAAAACTAAAGAGTGGAGCAGGGGATTTAGTTCAGTGGTATAAGTGCCTTCATGGGAAACACAAGGTCATGAGTTCGATCCATGGTATACCCCACCCAAAAAAAGAAAACAAAAAAAAATTAAAGAGATTGTTGGAAAATCACAATACTACTAAGTTAAAACAGAAGAAAGAGAGATGATGGTAACAATCAGACTTGGCTTAGTGAGTGTCAAGCACAGAAGCAGTGGAACAATTATTGGACTGTGGGGCAGAGAAATACATGAGAGTACTTCTGAGGAAAGGGTTGATATATTAATTATGTTTGTATTGTCATTACATCCTAATAAGTAAAACTTTTTGTTCTGATTCAGATTGGAGTTTCACCGAGTCTAATGAGACTCTGAAGAGATCTGAGAAATTGATGCTTGGCCATCAACATCCACTTCTGGCAGAATCCGTGATGAAGAGTCCATCAGCATTCCCAGAATCTGGTGAGTCAACCTTACTGGGTAAAAACTGATGAATATCAGACCTGTGTTTGTGTCAGGCAGTTGTTCTCACTGTGTTGCATGATTTGGGTTTCCAAAACAAAGCATGAAGATTCAGCCAAAGCCTCACAGTACAAGAATGTGTCTTTGGCTTTCCCATATTTCCTTATAAAGTTTATTTTTCCTTTTTCCTTTACAGAATCAGGTGACACACATCTTCACGGGAAGGTAATGACTGTATATTTGTGTTCTGAATTAACTGCATAGTTTGGAGCCGTGGAGTGTTTACTAACCATTTTGCTTTAAAACCCATTCAGGCTGCCATGGAAGAAAAAGATTCTGTTGTGAAGAAAGCAGTAAGAATGAAAGTTATACCGACATTCCAACTAGGTAAATGAAGCAATACAGATGACTCTGGAAAAATCACAGTACCTTAAAGTGTTTGATGTGCTCAGAATCATGTCAGTTTTTTTCTCCAAATGTTTGGAAGGCTTTGACATTAACAGTGCAGATGTAATTATTGCTGTCCATACTTGCAAATAGAGTGCTGATATGCATAAGAGAAAACAACTTTTAATGTGTTGTTTACTTATGTCTCAATACCCTATGTTACCAGCTTGGACCCGGGGTACTTCACAGGTATCCACAAAACTTACTATAAAATTCCAAGTTGTTCTCAAGTTTGTGGGTGCTTGCTGGAGAGTTGATCCTTCTGGCACCTTCCTGAGTCCCAGTTAACTCAGGAGGCTGTGGCAAGAGGTTCACTGGTCCCCACCATCACATCTCTCAGTTCACCACAGTGAGGAAAAGTGCTTCCAGTAAGTCTGATGTTTACCCAGACTAAGCTTTCCTTACGAACAAGCCCACTGTGTTTCCACTTCATTTCATCTCAGTATTGATATGTTCTTGATTGCAAGCAGATAGATTTTCTCAAAAGCAGACTCTTACAAGTATGTATGTATGGTGTCTCATATTTTGATTGTTAAGAAAGTAGTCTACAATCATTCCTTAATGACTGGTAGATACAGTTATTCAAAACAGTGATTATGAATCTTAGGCCTGAATTCCTTGAGTAGTAGGAAGTTTTCTTACAGATTATACAGAAGCTTTTTTTATAAGAATGTTGACTCTATTGACACTAGTAGAAACTGAATCTTAGTGAGGCAAAATACAGTGAGCAGGGATTTAGCTCAGCAAGATACATATCTGCCTGGCAAGTGCAAGTTTAGGCGTTCAACCTTAGGTATCACAACAAAGAAACAAACAAGTGGCAAAATAGCAACATGCAGCACATATGCCAGCATCCATTAGAGCTGTGATTCATGAATCATTTGAACTGAGACATGTGATACATTATATATCTGAAAACCTCACTGTGCTATGCCCCAACAAGAAAGAAAAAGCGTGAAATGACAGATAACCTTTGGTATGATTGGTCCTCTTACAACGTTATACTCCATAGATTTTAATTCACTGTTAAACCACCATTCCTACAGTATGGGAAGTCCATGAAAGCCATATGACAAAGAGATTTTTCACAGTGAATTGTCTTTTAAACTCTTATGTCTCCTGTTTTCTTCCACTTATCTTCAAATTTTTAAATCCGATAATGTGGTTTCTAAAGAAAAAGGGTATATTTTCATTATGCTTTCTTTTCCTGTCTCCTAGCACTCTGCACTTGTTGGTACTTGTTTGTGTCTAGGTCTAGATCAGAAACGGAGAAACTTCTAGGGCTTTCAGGGATAGCAAAGAGCTTGCTGTGGCACATAAAAATAATACTTACCCAATGTTTATGAGCTCTACCTCTGTGGAAATTTTGAGAGCACCTTACCTCCTGTTGATGAGGCCCTCAGTTTCCCATGCTGTCCCTTCACAGCTTTCTGTATCTCATAACCATTTTCAACAGTGAAAATACTAATTCACTGGCTGCATAGCTGAACAGCTTCAAGAACAATGGAAAATACCATACCAAAATGAAATGGCAATGAATATTAGTTCATGTGGATCTGAGGAAGCCTCAGAAGTAAGAACGGATGCTCAAAAGAGAAATATAGACTAGCGGGGAAGATGGCAGATCAATAAGTAGCAAGATAGCGAGGCTCTCTGAGAGAAACAGCTAAGATGCTAGAATTTAATGCCATGGAGAAGACCAGAAAAAAGGAGAGGGATTCTCATGACTCAGGAAAAAGCCAAGGAAAAATGAAAGAAAAACATGGGTGGAAGCCTGAATCCAGATGCACTTTCATTCAACAGAAGTGCTCCCACATTGCCCTAAGCACCCTGGAGTCCAACAACTCACAGTCCTGCTGAAGTTGGGGGTTTTTGAGCCTGAGGACCTTAGTAGGAAGGTGTGTAACAACAGAGAATGGAGCTGGCATGGAGATCTACACTAGCCTGTGGTGAGTGCTTGGAATTTGGTCCTCCTGCAGGAGGTGGTGATCAGCTGGGTGACATGCTGGAATCAGGCAGGATGGGCCTGAATCTGGAACTGTAGTTGCTTCATTTGGCCTCTCCTGATGCAGAGCAGATTGGTGGGAACTGCTTCAACTGGGTCATGCCCCTGGAACGGGACCCAATAGCCAGAGATGAAGTTGCCCCTGAAACAGTCCTGAGCCAGTTCCATCTGTGCAGTACACACTAAGATGGTGAAGACTCACATGGTTGACTGGCTCAGAGGGGAGGGGCCAGCCTGCACTACCCCTGCTTGTACCTCACTGATCAACAGCAAATGGGAGAGGGCAGAAATCCCTCACCATTGACTTCAAAGAAATCATAACCAATACAGAAAGGGCCTGGGACCCACACTATGCACTTGTCGGGAAGAAACCAAAAACATAACAAGAGAAAGAAAGAAAAATCTGTCTTCAGCTACCAATTCAAACAGTATGGGTCTAGGAGAGGTAATTACAGAAGAGATCAAGGATAGCAGACATGAAGTATTGGAAACAGCATCAGCTGACATAAAGAAATATCTTTGTGACATTATAGAAGACCTCAAAACAGAAATACTAATACAAGTACAGCAAGATATAAGAAGTCTAATAAAATAAATGCTAAGCACGTCTCAAGAAGACACAGATGGAAGAATGGAGGGTCACAGAAAAAGGAGAGAAACCTTTGATGAAGAATATAAAAAAGTGTAGAATACATGAAACATATTGAAAGATACTACCAGGAAATTAAAAACTACATTGAAAGATTGCAAAACTGCCTGAAATAAACTAAAGATAGACTATGAAAACTTGAAGACAGGCTTGCAATATGTGATCATGAAAGGAAAGGTCTCTTAAAAGTAACAAGGAAACAGGAAATAGCAATACAAAGGCTAGAAAATGACAACAGGATCTATAACTTAAGAATAAAAAATGTGGGGCTTCTGGGAGAACATGGCGGACAGATAGCAGCAGCTACAGAGGCTCTCTGAAAGACCCAGCTAAAAATTCATGAATGGTGCGGAGTAAGGAATCATAAGCAAGAGGAGATATGCCCTGCTGACCCAAGAACGGGCTGAGAGAAACCAACTTGGAATGCAATCCTGGTGCTATAACAGGAACAGAAAAGCCTCAGTGTGGAAGCTGAAGCCTGGGCCATTGGAAGCCACGATTTGGATTTCCCACCACGTGGCGGCTGCGTCTACATTGGCTCGGCAGGGAGAGAGACGCAAGGAAGCTCTGAGAACAGGAATCAGCAAAGGGAGTTAAAAACAGCACGGGCGGGGAGCCATGCATCCACCTCTGGTGAGTGAGGGAAAACTGGGACTCTCCCACGGTCCAGGAGACTCCAACAGAGGACATTCCGGGACTGGGCAGACTTGCAGGAGCGGGGTGCTGCAGCGACTTCAGCCACCTATCCCCCTCTCAAGCGGGATTGGTGAGAAGTGCCTAGCCTACGTGACGCTGCTGGCCGAGACCCAGTAGGCTAGCACAACCCAGATCCCAGAGCCTGAGGGTGGCCTGGAGGGGCGGGCCCCACGTAGGCTGCCTGGTCTGCAACTTCCTGGTGTGCTACGGTGGGCGGGAACACCTAGTCGGCGCAATTCGATCAGGCTGTAGCTGACAGGGAGGGAAGCTGGGCCTCCTATATACGCTTGCATATATAAGGAACAAAGAATATGGGAAGAGGGAGCAATAAGAAAGGCCCTTCGGCCTCCAATCCTGAGAAACAGGCAAGAGCGGACACCGCACCAATAGACATAAAGCGCCATCTAGAGAGCTTCATAGATGAATTCAAGAATGAAGTTATTAATGGCCTGAAGCTAGACATAAGCAGAATAGTTAGAGAAATGCTAAGCACCACCCAAGAAAAAACGGATGGTGGAATGGAAGAACAGAAAAAGAGGGGAGAATTGTTTGATGGAGAAAAAAGAGAAAGCATAGAATACATGAAGCAGGTTCAAAGAGACTACCAGGAAACTAAAAAGTCTATCGAAAACTGGCATAACAGCTTGAAAGAAACTAAGGACAGACTATCTGAACTGGAGGGCAGATTTGTAATATGGGAGAATGAAATGAAAAACTTCTTAAAAGTAACAAAGAAACAAACAGCAATAATACAAAGACTAGAAGATGATAAGACGATCCATAACTTAAGAATTAAGAACATAAAAGAAGAAGTAGGGACACAAACAAATGAACTACAAAAGCTACTCACAGAAATAATCCAGGAGAATTTTCCTAATTTAGCAAAAGGTAAAGATACTCAGTTGTATGAAGCATACAGAACCCCAGCCACCTACAACCCAAACAGAGCAACACCCAGGCATATAATAATAAAAATTCCATAAATTCAATACAAGAACAGAATATTAAAAACCGTCAGAGACAAGAAACAGACCACTTACAAGGGAACACCCATCAGAATTACAGCAGATTTCTCTGTACAAACCATGAAATCACGAAGAGCATGGGGGGAAATAATTGAAGCTTTGAAAGATAATAATCTCCAGCCAAGATTGATATATCCTGCACAACTGTCCCTGGACATTGATGGAAAAACAAGGTGCTTCCAGGATAAAGAGGAACTGGGGGAATTTGCAACCACCAATTCAACTCTACAGAGAACACTGCAAGATATTCTAAAAAAGAAAAATACAAAAAATCCAGAAGTAGTGGCAGAGAGGCCACAATGAATGGAGCAGAAAACAAAATGAAGAAGACAAACTGACAACTAATGACAGAAAAAGAGCTCAACAGAAATGAGGCAGAGATGATTGGATGATAGGAACAGCTATTTTGGAGAAAATGACATCTTAATAGGTAATACTGATTTAGTATCATCTTGTTTTGAAGTCTCATCAAGCTTTTGTTCTTCTGTCTGCATTGGTCTAAACAGGTTGTATCTTATTGGATTTTATTATGTATGATAGTATAAGCAAAGACTTTTAAAGACAA